AAAATATCTCCTTTATAAAAACTTAATATAAAATGGTTGGTATGATGGCTACATTGTATGTCTCCCACATGATTAATTAATTTTGAGTACAAAAAAAGGTCGTTGAATATTATCATAAAAGTAATATAAAAATATGATTGTTTAATTGGAAAACTGCAAAGATACGGATAAAAATATTGAATTGATTGATTATGGAGTCAACAACCTGAAGAAAAGATGAAGCATTTTCACTTCAGTCTCTTTAGTATTTGAGTGTCTTTGTTATCTGTGTAGAATAACATCATTAATGGAAATTTTTCGCTTAATTATTTTTCAGACTAACATGAATTCATAGTAATATTAATGCCTCATATAGCTCAGCATTTAAACATACTGTGCGTTATTCTATTTTCAAACAAAAACAAAGTACTATTATAATACTTAGTATCACTTTTTAATTTATAGAAAGTTCACTTGTTGTCATATTCCAAATAGAAGTATAATTGTGAAATTATGAAGTAATTTATTAATAATATTGGGGACAGTTATTTTTTCTTGAATAATTTCACGTCACTGATTACAACTCTGAAATTGGTTTCGCTCTCAAGCTACGGGTTTTTTAATAAATGACATTTTTAGACTATTTTTTTTGTCTAAATGTACAAGTTTAAATACGTTATATATAACAGGGGGTCGCGAAAGGTTGTGGCAAACTTCTAGGGGAGTTAGGGCACATCATAATAAATATTGCATAAGTACACATACCCGGAAATGTCGTCATAAGCGGCTAGGGATGCTTCTCTAATATGACTTGATCAGAAGCACGTGAAGAAACAGTTCAAAATAGGGAGACGCTCCTAGCGGCGTATGACCACATTTCTAAGCAATTCTAATCCTGATGATCAGCCCTAATTCCCCTAAAAGGTTTTTGTAACATTTACCACAACATTTCGCGACCCCCTTATAAATATAACGTTTTTGAACTTGAAATTTTGACAAAAAAAAATAGACCAAAAATGTTATTAAAAAAAAGTGTAGCTTTAGGACCAAAATTTATTCAAATTTGATATTCTCACACCCGAATAAGGCAAGTTTAAGTATTTGTATAAGTGCAACAAAAAATTTGTTCCCCAGTGTAATTTTGCATTGAATATTTTATGTTATAGTACTAGGTTAGGAAATCCATCATCATTTTCTTTAACGAGTAATCAAAATTCGATATCTTTCTCACATTTCCATTAACTTTCAACATTAAATTTTTTTCTTTTTTTTTGGAGGTTTGAAAAACGTATGTAACAAATTTTGTAAACAAACTTTAACCAGAAAAAAAACAGCAACTCACAGTTTAACTTTATGAGTTTTGTTTTTAAATTTGCTTAAAAAAACTCAAAAAGTGAAAGCTATACGTTATTATTTTTCTTATGAACTTAATGCTACAAACCCACGTGAATAGTTTTAACAGCCTCTCAACCTTGATCAACTAATTTTGATTTATCAGCCAAAAACTTAGTGATGTAACATAACTTGAAATTTTTTCTTGAAATTTGGAAGCAATAAATTTGAGGAAAAGCAACATTTAAATGGCAACATCTAATTAGAGTTTTTCGATAGATTAATGGGAAATGCCACAAAAATCGTAACCATATTTCGAAACAAAATTCATAACTAATCTCCCATTTTAAAGAATTTAATTAACCTTAAACTAAAAAATCAATGATGCTATTGCATCAAAACTGATTATTTTCTATTCATAACAGAACAAACTATTTTGTTGCTAAAATTTGGCAAAAAACATAGGCGTAGCGTCGGGGGGGGGGGGGGGGNGGGGGGGGAGAGAGACATGTGCCCCCTCAATAATTTTTCAAAATTTTAGGATTTTTTTAAAGATTATTACTTTAAAAGAAAACACCAAAAAACTATTTAAAATTAAATAAAAATTTATAACTTTAGATAGTTTAATAATATTTTAATGAAATAATTCTATATCTGTCACTTTTTAGCGTAAGTAGTACCTTAAAAACTATTTGATGAATTTTTAAAAATTATTTCGATTACTACTTAACGATTTTGATGCTGAAATCGATAACTATTAATATAATTTACGCAAAATATAATTTTTTCAAATTACAATTGCTTTCTATTAACATTGTGTTATAATTTTTAAAGACCTGTTTATTTTTTGTAACTGTCGAAGAAAGATTTTAGCATCGCTTGAAGTTATTTTTGTTTATAGCTTCTCTGTAACTTTAAGTTTTCATTCCGATTTTTTCAAGTGTAAACTTTTAGGTAAAATGAGATAAAATACTTATTTTTATTATTCTTATAATTTTTAACCAATAAGTTCCATTTCATACGAAATATTCATTTCATCCGTGCATATTCATTTCATACGAATAATAGATTAATTTTAAATGCAATGTACCAATTTTCGGCATGTTTCAATGGAATGTGTTCTAAAACCTTTTATTTCACTATCACATAACTTTCAAAAACCTACTACCGAACTTGAAATATCGGATTGCACTAAATGCATACATATATTAAAAAGTTGCACATTAATGCACCTAGTAAAAATATTATTCTTTTAGATTTTAAGGGAATTTCCTATCAAGGAATTACACTGCTAAATAATAAATAAAGTACATTTTGATGGCTCTGATTTTCGCATAATTTTCCGGGTAATAGTTAAAAACGAATTAAATCTGTAAAAAATAGTTCACATTTAGGGCACTGTGGGCAAACCGATCATATCACTAATTATAAGCCTAGTCTAATTTTATTCATGCTACTAATTTATTAAAAAAATATTTTTGCCATAATTGCATCAGATTTTGTATTGTTTTTCATAAAATGAAACATAATTCCCATAAAAACAATTTCCGAACATTTACTTAAAGAAGTAAATATTAGTACATATTAGAAAAATATAGGTAGGTTAAAAAAATTAATAAAAATTTTTTTTTTTATAAATGATTTTTTAAAAATGCATTTAGAAACTGAGAAAAAGCGAACTTATATATTTTCATTCCTTGAAATAGAATTAATGAGTGAGCAAAAATAAATAAATAATAGTAGACCACCATGAATAACTTTTAAATTAATGAGGATCTTCATGTTCTAGGCCTCAATCTTAAATGTTTGAGGGATGACCACAAATATGCTAATTAATTAGTGCAGATGATACTTTTAAGTTATGTAATTAGGTTAAGTCATGTAATTATGTTAACACACTATACACTATGTGGGATTGTGTAAAAAGGAAAAAATTCAATTGTAGAAAATTTTGAAGTAGCAAAAGCAATGTTCAATACATAAAAGTCTAATGCTAAATAATACTCCAGGATCATTTTAGCCCCTGTTTTTTTATTTACAATTATTTTTTTAATAAATATACAAAACTATGCTATTTAATCATGCTAAAAAAGACTCTAATTGAGTTGAACCTCCTCACTACTGTGGTATAAAGAAATATAGCAAAAAAATATTCTACAATTTTGAATTTCTATTTTACTGCCATAAGTCATATTAAGATAAACAAAATATGAATCATACTGCCTGGGGGCAAATAATTTTTAGTAGACGTACTTGAACCTCAGGTTTTAACTAGGTAAGTAAAAGAATACAAATATTTCAAAAGTTAAATTATTCTTAAAGTAGGAACAAACATGCATATTGCTATGTTATGGTCTATTAAAATATAATGATGAATATATTAAATAAGTATTTAAAAAATTANAAAAAAAAAAAAAAAAAAAAAAAAAAAAAAAAAAAAAAAAACAGGAATTTTTATCTAAGTACATTGCAGTACTGCATTAAATCTCAGTTTCAAAGCCATCTTAATTATACAAACCATGATAAATAAATAATTATTAAAAAGAATCTAACATTAATTATGAAAAATATTTAATTCTTGTTGGTAATATTTCAAAATTACGGAAAAAATACAAAAAGTTAAAGTTATTTAAATGTATTTTAAAGTTATTTAATGTACCTTAATATAAAACAATCAATTAAAATACACATAAAAATATCACTAAATAAAAAATTAAATACTCATAATATTATGGAGATTTCACTTGACTATTACACTGTCATAAATTTTGCAATACGCAGGGCGGCCAACTTTCTACAGTTTTTGTAAAAATTTATTCTAGTGGTAGCTAAGTTTTTGTTTTAATGTATTATCTTTTTAATCATTTAAGCTTATTTTCCAAACCACTACACATAAATGATTTAAAAGTTCGTACGCAACACAATAACCACTGTAAAAAATATTATGCAAAAAGCGTAGTAGTTTGCATGAACCTGCATGTTCTTGACTGTATTATTTTTGAATATTAGGTAAAAATAAATTAAAAAACTTCATACAGATCACAGAACTACTAAGTTGAGAGAAAATTGTTTCTTCAGAATAATAAAATTACAAAATATTTAAATTTGCTAAAGTTTTCGATCACATGGATTTAGTGTCACTTTTCAAAAATCACTTATGTTTATGAGACTCTGGTCTTACCAAATAACTTAAATTTTTTGCATAGATAGGAATCTCCAGAAAGCTTAAACGTCCAAGAATGTTTCAGTGAGGGTAAAACTATAAATTTTCTTATAGCTTGTTTCTGAAAGCTAAGAAATGAAGGTCCACATATGTGGACCAAGGTAATGAAGATGTTATATACCAACTGTCAATGCAACTTTAAGGTGAAAAGAAATAAAGAACTGTACATATAAAAGAACGCATACACTATCTGTTACATTGATTGAATTAAAGAAAGTACTAAAATCCAAAAGTAACAAAGTACAAGTATAACCATGTATCATCTTTGCCTTAAAACATGTCTGGCAACATTTTGTTTGAGCAAAATCAAAATTTATGTGTTATTCAAACAATGGCTTTAAAAAGTAGTGTCAGGAAAAGTAGACTATGCACATTTGTGTATACATGTTCTTTGGTATGGATATTTCTTTATTCTTTTTCACCTTAAAGTAACATTTTAAATAATGAAAAAAGAATTAAAAATCAGTTGAAATTGTTCAATACCAATATTGAAGATTTAATTACTGAAACATATTTTATTATTTCTTTTCTTACATTTTTTGGGAATTATACAAATAAAAAAAATCCTTTATTTGATATACTTTAATAAAAAAATCATTTAATGTCAAACAAAAAATTCTGAACACAGGATGTAAATAAGTTACAAAAATAAATTTGTTCCTAAATAAATTTTTAAAAAATGAACTAGTTATAAAAACATATAAAAAGTAGCAAACCAAAAATACAAAATCCAATATTAAAAAATGTTCATTTTAAAATTATCCTATAAATCAACTATATGTAAGTATCATGTTTATACTTTATTTCATGTATAAGTGAAAGTCTTAAATATTAGCATTATTTACATCGTGCTTTTTTACAAATGTTCTACAGTTACACTCATACATTTAAGTCATATTTCGAATCACAGTGACAATTTGTGTTAATACTTTTTATATTATTAATTATAAGCAACCGGTGCAACTCAGCAAGTTAGAAAAATTTAAATAGTTAGAATTAAAAATATTAGTTAGTTTTTTTAAATTGAGATACAGTGCCCGCCGCTAATAAAATCACCGGATAATGAAATCAGCTGCTTTATAAAATCAAATCGGCAAGAACCGAATCGTTACAATACCGCTGCTTTTTAAAATCAAAATTTTCACTACATAATAAATCAAAAGTGCAATATTTCAGGTTTTCTTTGTTCTTATTTATAAAATTTTATTTTTTGGAAGTTTAAAGATTTTTTTAGAAGAAGCAACAGTTACTCACAAACCTATGAAACAGGTGAGTTTAGCACTTTCCTGTGATGTACATAGTGTAAGAGTAAAGGAAAAATGTGGGTGATAAGCAGGGAGTTCATAGAAATCAATTTATCAATGTCAATTCCTTGACTTGAATGAAGTTTGGAGAAACCTATCTCACCCAACAGGGGGTCGAATTCTTATCTTACTTTTTATTGAATGAACCATAGAAGGGAGAGAAGTTTCTTTTGTTACCTATCTTAACAGAGAACAAGAATAGATTTCCAAAAACTGTCTGTGCTCATGTTCCATTTTAAGCTGTTTGAGTAAATTATAGTTAAAGCACATATCATTTTTAAGTTCGTTTGGTGTTAAATTTTATCAGCATGCCGAAAAGGAAGGATTTGAGTTTTAAAGATAAATTCGAAGTGCTGCAAAACTATGATAAGCTTCCTAAATGTAGTCAACGTGAAGCTTCAATTAAATTAGGTATTTCCCAAACTGCTCCTTTCAACATTCTGAAACAAAGGATAAATATTTCCCTGGAAATAAAAAAAGAATGAAAATCTGTCAAGAAAGAGTAAGCGTGAAGGAAAATCGGAGGAAATTGAAATGGCTCTGTTAGAATGGTTCAAAAATGCACGCGAACGAAGAATTTCAATTCCACGTGGAATTTTATTTCACAAAGCACAGGACTTTGCTAATTTATTTGGTGATTCTGATTTTAAAGCTACAGATGGGTGGCTAACCCCATGGAAAGACCGCAACAACATTGTCTTTCGTAAATTGTATGAAAAGCAAGATGCTGATTTTAGCTCTGCCGCCGATTGGGTAAACGACGTGTGGCCAACACTCATCAAAGACTATAAACCAGAGCAAATTTTCAACACAGATGAAACAGGATTATTTTTCCGAGCACTTCCTGAACACACACTGCTGTTTAATAATGAATTGACTGGTGGATGCAAAAAAATAAAGGAAAGACTAACCGTGTTGCTAACATGCAACATGACAGGAACTGCGAAAAAAAACAAACCTTTAGTGATAGGAAAGAGTCTAAAACCTTGATGTTTTAAAGAAGTAAACCTGCCCACCAGTTATGCCATAAGCTATAACGCATGGATGACATCCAGCATCTTCACAAAACTTCTTCTTGAATGGGACAAGGAGCTGAAAAATGAAAAGGTCGTCTTACTTTTAGATAATTGTTCTGCGCACCCTGCTGATGAGGACTTGTGTTTGAAACACATTAAATTAGTGTTTTTGCCACCCAACACTACAGCTATTATTCAACCCCTTGATCAGGGAATCATAAGATCATTCAAGTTTCATTACAGAAAAATGGTTGTTCGAAAAATTATTTGTGACATAAACTGTGACAGCTCTTTAGAACTCTTAACTGCAAAAAAACTATCAAAATCCCTTACTATTTTGGAATCAATGCATTTGACTCGTAACTCATGGGACATTGTTTCAACCCAAAAAATATAAAATTGCTTTAAAAAGTGTGGATTAAGCACTGGCGAGGGAGCTGATAACTGTTTCAAAGAAATGCTCAGCAATGAAGAAAATGAAATGGACAAGAATGTTACGTAGCTATTGACGATAACCTGCAAACATCAGGAGAAAAATCTGATTCTGATATTGTTACAGACATCAAAAATTGCAAAGTTATTTCCAATCAAGAAATGGAGGAATCAGACTCAGAAGATGAAATAAAGTCATCAGTGCCATCTTCATTGGAAGTCAAAAAAGCACCTAATGTATTGCGGCGAGCTTTAGAACAAAGAGGAGGAAATATCGAAAACTATAAAAACTTCTATAAACTCTCAAATGACGTTGAATAGTTAATTTTAAATACTGCAACTCAAGCAACCATTGATTGGTTTTTTGAAAAAATTTTGTAAATTTAATCTTATGTAGGGTTTTACTTTATTAAAATAATTAAATTAGTTAAAATAAAGCATTAATGTTGTCATTATTTCAGCTTTTAAAGTGTGTGCATTTAGAATATATCGTAAAAATTATTATTATTTTTTTCAAATGTTGAATCGCCTCTTAATAAAATCAGCCACTTAATAAAATCAAAAGAGCATAAAACGAAAGTGATTTTAATAAACGGCGGGCACTGTATACGGTATTAATTTTTTTCCTGTTATTGAGTAAGGTTTTTTACTTCCAGTTGTACTGTCTTCCAGTTGTCCTAAATAAAATTTCTGCTTAGTCAACAATTCTTTTTTTATAAATTATATTCATCCAAAAACAACAAACTTTACAAAATCAGACAAGATGCATAATCCTTGACCTTCTAATTCATCACATCATCACCATTGAATAGTAGAATAATTCGTTTATCCACTGCTACATTGAAGTTGATCATACATTTACACAATTTTCCTTCCTATTTAAAGAACACAATTATATTTTTCAATATATTATGCATAGTGATTTAAACTGTCAAAAATAAGTATCTATTTAAATATCTCATAGCTATATTTTAGAGATAAAATACATAGGAGTAAAGACTGAAAATATCAAAAGTAAGATAAACTTTTATTAAAATCTCTGATATGAGTAAAAATTTAAAATTCTTGAAATAATGTTATCATAAAATATTAAAGTAAAAAAAAAGAAATTTATGAGCAGCCCGAAAAAGCACAAGATCATTAATTACAACTAAATTTATGTATATATGAGTTAGAATAGGTAATAAAATATTGCTTTATTTGAGCATTAAAAAGAAAAATTGTAATCTAAAAGATGTTCAGAACTTCATAGGAATTGCCTTATTTGGATAAATAACAGATTTTTCAGTTACAATGCTAGAGAAATAATATCATGAATGATATAACTTCAGAATGTATTTGTAGTTTACTTATTTCTGAAATATAAATGAGCTTTCAAAAATACAATTTGAAACCAGAAAAATAGCATATTAAAAATTAATATTAGCCTGCCATTGATTTGAACAAGTTTCCTGTATAAGATCACTAGTTTTTGTAATTGAATAGCAAAATTTTTAAAGCATTGTGTGGTGCGATTTATCTTAAAAAAAGTTCACGCTCCACACATTTACGCCATTGCAATGTGGGAAATTATATTAGCTAACTTTAAAATTTAAACATTTAAAGAAAATTGAAATTATAGTGATTCAATTTATATCAAAGTCCTAATTAGGTAAATCTCTCTCACACATTTGGAACATTAAAATATTTTTAACTTTCACATAATATTGAGTATTGTTTACAAGTTATGCTATAATTTAATCTTTGTTGAGACACATATCTTTAAAAAAATAAATAATGTAGCAATCCTAATAAATAACCAAGAGATATATAAACTTTAAATAAAGCATTATTTAATAGTAGAAAAAAGATATCTAAGAAATGGAAATACAAATTGAATCAAAACACAGTACACACCCTCAACAGATGTCTTGGCTTACAAGCATAGAGATTGTTCTAAAACGGGAATAAATAGCTTTAGTATTCACAAGCAATAAGAATAATTTGCTGTTTAAGAGAAAATAGTTGATGTGACATAGGCAATGAGTAAATATAAGATTGTAATAGAATGAAAAAAAGGAGAATGAAAATAACCCATCAAATAAATGTTAAATTAGATTTGTTTAAATTTCCCAATGAGTTCTTTTGAGTTTAAACAAAAAGTGAGGTCACATGATATTGGAATTACGGTAAAAAAAGATTGACACATAAAGATGTTACATATATCAATATGCAATAAGCAGAATTGGCAATGTTCCCCAAGAAGAAAACATGTAAAAAAATCACAAAGCTAAGTATGGCAAGATTTGCTGATGCTCTGTTTTGGCTCAATTTTGCATTAATAAATGAATATCTCAAGTTTCTTTTAAGTAATATACAATAAATCTCCTATTATCTTCATTGCAGTATTTCTGTAATGTGGTTTTTTGACAAAAACTTGTGTGTACAAAATTCTAAAATAAATACAATTTTTGAAAACTAACTATTATTTTGTTAGAAAGAGATTCAGTCCAAGTGAGATTTTGTCTTTAATTTTGTAAAGGTAAGATTTTGCTCCAAATTTTTGAAGGCGTGATTCCACCCTTTACAATTTTGTCCAGGTAAGATTCTGCATGATATTTTATTTGAGCATGATCAGAATGAATTTCTGTCCCATAATATCTTGTCTGAGTAGGATTCTGTTCCTAGATGGATAACCCAATGTTTATTCCTTAATATTTTTGGTGATAAATTCCTTTCTTCTATTAACAAAACATCCTTAAAAAATACTTATAAAAATACTTAATACTTATACTTTTAAAAACTAATAAAACAAATATAAGTTACATTTTTTTAACATTTTGTGAATTATCAACAGAATTTATTTCACTGTGGTTGTTGATCCACTCAATTCCATAGTTAATCAGTATTTTTCTGTGTGTATATTAATGATAGACTAATTAATGATTTGCTAAAACTTATAAAACCTTGGAATCTAAACAATTGTTTGATTTGAAACTGTTAGACTATGAAAAAAGTCCATATCTTAAAGAGAAATTAGAATTGAATACACATATTTCACATTTTGCAACCAAGTAAGCAATCTATATGGCAATACTTTTGTAACAAAAGTATAAAAAAAAACTAATTTTTTTTAGTTGCTTTTGAAATGTAGTACTTCTACTTATAATTATGATGCTTTCTTAGGAAAAAGCTAACGTATTTGCAACAAAAATGTTGGGAGAAATAATTACTTTAAAAAATTGTTTTAAAGATTTTCGCATTAAGTTTTTACCAGAACATATTCAGATTAAATTATTTTCGCGAAGTTCCTAAATATATTATGAAATGAAGTTTATTGCTGAACGAAATTAATTATTACAGACAGGTTGAGAGTTCATTCTTTCATAGGTTATGAAGAATACCCAACCGAGAGGCAGGCATTTGTTGTCGCAAGGCAAATTGTACTTTCGAAGAAACAAAATCTGAAGTTTATACCTAATTGAAATTGCAAGTTTTATAATACTATAACATAGAATGTAGTTACACACAAGTCGGTCAGCGTGAAGTTATTTCACCTGGGTCCCGTAATTATAATAAATTCGTTATATTCCATATTAGTGGGATAACAATCGATATTTTAATAAGATGGATAGCAAATATTAAAAAAAAAAAAAAAAAAACTCAGCCAGGCCACAAGAAAGTTGTAAGAGCCATATGAACTGTCAGACCAAAGTTGAATCTGAGACTGTCAGTAAAATTATAGTCACTGATCACAGGGAAATATCAATTATTTATAGCTTGATAACTTTTAATTATTTCTAAAATTATAATTTTATTTAACTAATAATTAAACTTTCTCATTCATGACAAACTTATCATGTTAAACTATTAAACATATCAAAACTAAGCTTTTTGTTTGTATGGTTAGATAAATCTAAATAATTGAATGCGAAAGTAAGAAATGCAGTTTTGAAAGTGTAATAAAGAGTTCTAATTAATTGTTTTCTTTGTTTATTAGTTAATATTTAGAATAATATTAATAAATAGTTATGAAATGCATTAATTACACTCCTGCTTATTCCTATGTATTATTAATACAGACTATTCGGCATTGTTGATATTAGCGTTTGATAATTAATCATAAATAAATCAGACAATCATTGCAAATAAAAAAAAACCAAATCAGACAACCATTTAGGTACAAAGGAAGAGTATTAATGTTCAAAATAATTTTATAGCAAAATTTTGTTACCATATAAAAGTCTCCCTGCATGTTAAACAAGATTTTAAACACAATATGTATTTTATTTTATATTCACTGAAAAATACTGCTCAATAGGGCAAAATGTGGTCTAAACATTCAGGAGAATTGCAGAGTAAGCCTGAGATGTATAGATATGTTACTCTTAAATACTTTTATAAAATTTATTGTTAATCAACAACATTTTAACTTAATATAAAAAAAAATTATATATATTAAAAAATATTTAATTATTTGCCTTTTTTGTACCTATCTAAATGTTAGAAATGAAATTATTTCAAAATTTTTAAAATTTTCAAAATTATTATGAAAAGGAAAAAAAAAGGTAGTATCATGACTGAATAATGTTTGATAGTAACCAAAAGAAATGAATAATTTCTATCTGAAAGTTAAAAATGCTTTGCTAACAACTAATTTTAGAATAAATAAAATTTCTTTAAAATCATTGGGTAATTTGGAAAAGTTAATAAAATTAAAATATATACAGTCAATTCGCTATAACTCGAAGTACGATAACTCGAATATTACTATAACTCGATTTTGAATTAATCGACTT